TGTACTATAACCACCATAATACTGAATAATTTATAGTACACTACATTATTCAGTATTATGGACACTAATTGACCACATTATTCAGTATTATGTGTACTATAACCACGTTATTCAGTATTATGTGTACTATGACCACGTTATTCAGTATTATGGACACTAATTGACCACATTATTCAGTATTATTTGTACAATGACCACATTATTCAGTATTATGGACACTAATTGACCACATTATTCAGTATTATGGACACTAATTGACCACATTATTCAGTATTATGTGTACTATAACCACGTTATTCAGTATTATGTGTACTATGACTACATTATTCAGTATTATGGACACTAATTGACCACATTATTCAGTATTATGTGTACTATAACCACGTTATTCAGTATTATGTGTACTATAACCACATTATTCAGTATTATGGACACTAATTGACCACATTATTCAGTATTATGTGTACTATAACCACATTATTCAGTATTATTTGTACAATGACCACATTATTCAGTATTTTAGTGTCCATCTAACCGTGGTTTTCTCCAGACATAGCAGGAGATGATGATGTTGTAATTCAAAGAGGTCCTCGTCGTTCTCCTCGACACCGTTTACATTAGCCCGAGCGGCGAGTTTCGCTTCCATCGCTCTCTTTTTGTTGACAAACGCCGCACCGCTGGTAGCCTTGGCGATTCGGATTCGAACCATCCTTGCTTTCTGTAAGCAGGAAAAGATATAAGAAATACTCGTCTACAAGTTTTTTGTAAACACGTAATAAAACTACTTTACAAGATCAGAAGTTAAATAACATCGGTGGTTGAAATAGCTGTTTTAATCTAACACATAATAGTATCAAAAACTTGAAACAGTAAAAACATACATAGTTAACACTAAACACTTCAAATCGTAATAAATCCAACAGCTCAAAAAGGGAGCAAATTCTACGGTGTACAACGTAACATCGTGAACAACTTATAAAACGTAAGAACATACAGGAAGGAAAATTATAAGCTCTATAAACAGCATAAGAAACCGGTTATGATAAACAAGAACAACTTATAAACAACATCAGAAACCGGTTATGATAAACAAGAACAACTTATAAACAACATAAGAAACCGTTTATAATAAACAAGGCGAACAACTTATAAACAACATAAGAAACCGTTTATGATAAACAAGACGAACAACTTATAAACAGCGTAAGAAACCGTTTGCAATAAACAAGAACAACTTATAAACAACATAAGAAACCATTTATAATAAACAAGAACAATTTATAAACAACATAAGAAACCGTTTATAATAAAGATAGAACAATTTATAAACAGCATAAGAAACCGTTTATAATAAAAATAGAACGTTTTATATCAAGAAAGAATATCATGTTTCTGTTTATCTCTCTCGTTACCTATCAGTCTGTCTTTTATCTATCAGTCTATGTTTGTCTTTCTGTTTACCAGTCTGTATATTTGTTTTTCTATCTGCCAGTCCTTCCACTGTATTGTGACGTCAGTCTTATCCAACTGTCAATAAACAACACACGTTCGTCTTGATTTTGAAATCTTTAATCATACAGTCGGTGCGAATAAATAGAGAGACAGACTGGTAGAAATTGGTAGGCCTAAACCGGTATGAAAATATTTGTGTTACAACGTTATGTTATTACAAGAACAACCTATACAATTACGTCAGCGTATATCATTACTTAATCATTTGGTGTACAAAAGTACTTACAGACGTTGTTCGAATAAACAAAAAATATTATAGAGACTCAAAGGTGTTCTCGCTCGGCTCAGACTGTTTGCCGCCATCTCACGATTTTTAAATCCCGAAAAAAGAAAAGTAACGACATTTGTTGCTGCTGTGTTTACGTATTTTGTTTACGTGAGCTGGGCGTGGCCTAGCGGTTAGGAAGGTCCAAGTTGTGCTGAACACGCTCGGCTCTTGCAGAGTGATAGTCAGTACCGTTATTTCATTTAAATACTGGACACAGACCTTGTGCAGCGGGTACTACTTAAGGGCATTCTTCCTACTGGTCAGTAGTTGAAAATTAACGATAGCTATTACTGAATCCTAAGGATTTCTGATGCGGCTGTTTGGCCCATGTGTCGTAAGCTATGATTGAATCCTGAGAGTCTCTGTATCGCATTAGGTACGTTTGAGGTATCAAACATGAGCAAACGGACATTTCTTATATACTCTCAAGCGGAGCAGCTACAAATCAACTAAGTTTTACCCCCCCCCCATACATAGGATTTATTCGCGAAAATTCCTGGAAACGAAGGTTTGTTCCAAACTTTTCGCGCTACACAAAGGGGTACACGTGCACACTCGTCACCAATGTTGAAGTGATAGAAAAATGGATAGCCTTGTTTGAGCGAATAGTGAGATTTCACTGCCACTCTTATATCACACCCACAGCTCCAAAGTGCGGAGTGCGTTTTTATTTTCCAGCAGTAGACGGCGAACCATGAGCCCTGGGTAACTAAAAATAAACAGAAATTGGGTATTTGAATGTGTATAATTAGCAAGTTTTATGATTATGTTAAAAAGTTTATGAAGTTATGTTAATTTTAATATCTAAAGGATGAAACCGTAGCTCGTAACATCTTCTAACGTTTAATGTTTTATTTCTTTATAAAAAAATAGAAAATAAATGAGAGAAACAAAGCGTCGCACACGGCATTAGGGGTACACCGTCTATCAGATGTAACCTCAGTCCACAAGTCGCACGTGTGGGATGGAAACAAGTGCTCGAGGCCTCTACGTCACACATGTAAAACTACCTTTAACAGTCTGCAGAGGTTAGTCTGTGTTGCTAAACGCAGCTACACAGTGAATTATCTGCTATATCCATCGCAGGTATAGAAACTCGAATTTTAGCGTTGTAAGCTGTGAGACTTGCCGCTGAACCACCGACAAAGCATTCTAGTACCCATGGCGACGTACTTGTATGAACAGCGAACTGCTTCAGTATAGTTTAATATAAGCCTAACTGCGACGAACTTGCATGAACAGCGAAAATCGTCAGTATAATTCAATTTAAGCCTAAATAAATTGGATACCACAGGTTCTGATTAATTTTCCCTTCATAGACTTACCTTCTGTGCTTTACGTTTATCTGCTCTTTGGTTCTGGTGGTAAATACGTGAGAAGTTTGACACGATAACAGGAACGGGAAGTGCAATGACGAGTACACCACTCAGTGAACAGACGCCACCTACAATTTTCCCCATGATTGTAGCAGGCACCATATCACCGTACCTGAAGGACACGTAATATTGTTATGGTTATACAAGAATGAGTGATTTATATACGTCACGTCTATCCAAGAATTATTTAAATTAAAAAGAAAAGACCTAATTACCCAGAATATATTTTTCATGCCTTAATCTTTGTCTGTATAAATATTCTAATAGTTGTGGTATTTCAAGCCACGGTTTAAAACTATAAAAGTCGTAATAGAAAAGTTGTTTACGAAACTTCCTGATAAAAAATATTTAATATTTACACCTTCGGGGACAAACATTTTTAACCAATCAAACGACGATACCATAGATAGAACTGCATAGTTTGTTTGTTTGAAGTTAAGCACAAAGCTACACAATAGGCTATATACGTGCTCTGCCCACCACGGGTATCGAAACCCGGTTTCTAGCATTGTAAGTCCGCAGACATACCGCTGTGTTTAGAGCTGACCGTGAGAAAAAATTGGCTCAGCTAAATACAACCGCGACGAACAGAAACCCATTTTCCCAAATTATATTATTGTATGTAAGATATAATAAAAACAGAATATATGGTTGATGTTCGAAATGTTCACACAACTAAGTTTTGGTTTCCTTTCAGTTCTAGCTTTGACAGGAAACTGTTTCTAACATAGGTAGGATCATTGTTCAAATGAGATAATTATGAACC